AGCAGCTCTAATAACCCTCCTGGCCGCTCTGCTTCTCCTTTCAAAGCCGTTGTAGCTCCGTCACCACAGGGTTTTCCGTTTGCTCCTTCCGCCGTCATGAACCCCGACAGCATCCACTCGCCTCTGTTCTTCATAGTGCCGACCATCCAGGGATGATGATTGTCTCTATTCAACTGGATGGGTCGAACTACACACAGTGGTGTTCAGCGATGAAAATCGCTCTCGAAGCGAAGAACAAAATCGTCTTTGTTGATGGATCTTATCCTCGACCTGACTCAAGTAATCACCTTTTCCGGATCTGGTCTCGTTGTAACAGCATGGTTAAATCATGGCTTCTTAACTCGGTGTCTAAGCAGATCTATGGTAGCATTTTGTCTTTCGATGATGCAAAGGAGATTTGGATTGATTTGCACAACCGTTTTCACAAGACAAACCTACCACGCACCTTCCAGTTGGTTCAGCAGATTCAAGACCTTCGCCAAGGCTCCTTGGATCTGTCAGGTTACTACACTGCTCTCAAAACCCTTTGGGACAATCTTGATAGTACAGAACCTCCGGAATCATGTCTCTGCTGTAACACCTCAGGTTGTCTCAGTCAGCGTGCTGCTAAAGCAAAGGTTGATAGAGGACGCACCATCAAGTTTCTGGCTGGCCTTAATGAGAAATACTCAATCATTTGCAGTCAAATCATCATGCGTAAGCCTCTCCCTGACCTTGCCGAAATCTGTAGTATTCTGGACCAAGATGATAGCCAGCGTCAGTGTAACTATGTGGTCTCCCCAAACACGTTTCTTGTGAGCCAAGATTCTCACTCAACAACTCAGTCTGCTACAGTTGCTGGTGATAACAACCCATCCCCAAAAGGAGCGTTAAACGCTTTTCAGAAAAAGACTAGATCGACATGCTCTCACTGTGGCAACACAGTTCATGTGGTTGATCGCTGTTACAAGTTACACGGTTACCCTGTTGGATGGAAGAAAGGTGGTAAATGGAACAATGACAAGGGATCTCAGTCGAAGCCTCAGCATCAAGACCCCTCTGGTATTTCTTTCTCGTCCTCAACATTCAGTTTTGTTGGGATTCTAAGTGTCACTCAATATGTTACTGATCTTCACACATGGATCGTTGATTCCGGTGCTACTCACCAAGTCTCTCATGATCGTAATGCCTTTGTTGATATTGACACTTCTGTTCAGCATTCTGTCAATTTTCCTAATGGTTCTACACTCAAAGTTAGTGGAATTGGTCAGATTGTTATCAGTGATGCTTTGACTCTTCAGAACGTTTTATACATTCCGGAGTTTCGACTCAATCTATTGAGTGTCAGTTCTTTGACGTCTGATATTGGAGCTGAAGTACTGTTTGCTTCTGGTTGTTTCCGTATACAGGATCCTATCAAGGAATCGATGATTGGGAGCGGTAGAAGAATAGCAAACCTATATGTCTTGGATGTGAGTAGCTCAAGTCTGCATGTTCAAGACTCTGCTTCTTCTTTTGTTCATTTTGTTGTCGATGCATCTGTTTGGCATCAGCGTTTTGGCCATAGTTCTTTTGAAAGACTCGAACTTCTTTGTGATGTACTTGGATTTTCTAAAGCCAAGAATAAGGGATTAATACATTGTGATATCTGCCAACGTTCTAAACAAAAGAAGTTATCTTATTCTTTGCACCCTAAAATTTGCTCTACTCCATTTGAATTACTTCACATCGACGTATGGGGACCGTTCTCTGAAACAACACATGATGGTCATCGATATTTTCTTACAATCGTAGATGATCATACACGTGCTACATGGGTTTACCTCGTCAAGCTCAAGAGTGATGTTCTCACGGTTTTCCCAGAGTTTATACAGATGGTAGAAGGCAGTATGATGCAAAGATCAAATCTGTTCGTTCTGACAACGCACCAGAACTGTGGTTTGATGCTCTCTACAAGGCTAAAGGAATCATTCCATACCACTCTTTCCCAGAAACCCCAGAGCAAAACTCAGTTGTTGAGCGCAAACATCAGCATCTTCTCAACGTTGCTCGAGCACTCTTGTTTCAATATGGAGTTCCTTTAAGTCATTGGGGGGACTGTGTGCTTACTGCTGTGTTTCTGATTAATCGCACTCCGTCACCAGTTATCTCCAACAAGACTCCCTTTGAGAAACTCACTGGCAAACTTCCTGATTACTCCAACTTCAAAACCTTTGGTTGTTTATGCTATGCAAGCACTTCTCCAAAGGGGCGTCACAAGTTTCAGGATCGTGCTCGTGCTTGCGTGTTCTTGGGGTATCCCTCTGGATACAAGGGTTACAAATTAATGGACATAAAAAGCCATGAAATTTTCATATCACGCAATGTGATCCTCTATGAAACTTTGTTTCCATTTCTTCAATCTTCTCCAGATGCAGAGTGTGATGATTTTTTCCCCCATGTTCATCGTGGTTTAGCTCCACCTAACTCTGTTCCCACTACTACTGAGGCAACAGTTAATTCTCCAAGAACTTCAACTCTACCTCCCTTAAGTCGCAGAATCGAAACCTCCTCAACATCTTCAAGACTATCACTGCTACTCTGTTAATTCTTCTACAGAGCATCCTATGTCTAATGCGATATCTTATGCAGCTCTATCTGATCCGTATCTGATCTTTATCAATGCTTTGAATAGCATTCCAGAACCGACTTCTTTTGCTCAGGCTTGCAAGATCAAAGAATGGTTGGATGCTATGGACATAGAAATTACTGCTCTTGAAGAAAATGGTACCTGGATTGTATGTTCTCTGCCTGCTGGTAAGAAAGCTGTGGGATGTAAATGGGTTTACAAGGTCAAGCTCAACGCTAATTGAACTTTGGAGCGTTACAAAGCTAGGCTTGTTGCCAAAGGGTACACACAACAAGAAGGATTAGATTATGTTGAAACATTCTCTCCTGTTGCAAAGTTAGCTACTGTTAAGTTACTTCTTGCGGTTGCAGCAGCTAAGGGATAGTCTCTTTCTCAATTAGACATCTCGAATGCTTTTCTTAATGGAGATCTGGAAGAGGAAATCTACATGACTCTACCACCTGGATACTCTAGAAGACAGGGGGAATATTTCCCACCTAATGCTGTTTGCAAGTTAAAAAAATCGCTTTACGGTTTAAAGCAAGCCTCTCGCCAATGGTTTTTAAAATTCTACAAAGCTCTTCATGACTTGGGTCTCAAGACTTCCTCAGGGGACCATACTTTGTTTCTCAAGAACTCTGGATCAGTGTACATGGCAGTGCTTGTTTACGTCGATGACATCATAATTGCTAGCAGTTGTGACCAAGCAACTGAATTACTCAAAGCTGCTCTTCAAGCTTCTTTCAAACTTTGCAATTTGGGAACTTTACGCTACTTTCTTGGTTTAGAAGTGGCAAGATCTTCCGCTGGTATCTCTATTTGCCAACGCAAATACATACTAGACTTACTCAATGAGACATGACTACTTGGATGTAAGCCATCATCTATACCGATGGATCCTAGCATCAAGTTATCTATTGAAGTTGGAGAACTTTTGGAAGATGCAGAGCAATATAGACGTCTTGTTGGGAAGCTGTTATATTTAACATTTACTCAACCAGACATAACTTTTGCCGTACACAAGTTGTGTCAGTTCACCTCCACCCCAAGGCGTCCTCATCTACAAGCTGCTTATAAGATTCTCCACTACCTGAAAGGAACTATTGGCCGGGGTCTCTTCTATTCATCTGTCTCAGACCTAAAGTTATCTGCTTTTGCAGACGCAGATTGGGGATCATGCCCTGACTCTCACCGCAGTATTACTGGATTTTGTATATTTGTTGGTACTGCTTTGATTGCTTGGCGTTCCAGCAAACAAGACGTTTTTCACACTCTTCATCTGAGTCTGAATATCGAGCAATCTCTGAGGCAGTTCGTGAAATGCTCTGGTTCCGCATGATGATGGAAGATTTTTGGATTGATGTCCGTGAAGCTGTTCATTTGTATTGTGACAACACTGCAGCTATTCACATCTCTAATAACTCCGTGTTCCATGAACGTACCAAACACATGGAGAGAGATTGTCATATTGTTCGTGAACGAGTTAAGATTGGAATGATCAAAACGTTACATGTCCGGTCAGAACATCAACTTGCTGATATCTTGACTAAACCTCTCTTTCCTTCACCATTCCGGTATCTGTTGAGAAAGATGGAGTTCACTAACATATATGCTCCATCTTGAGGGGGAATATTGGTATGATTGAAGTATTGAATACGGTTTACTTGTATATTTTTTTAGTTGTCTTAAACCGGTTTGTCCCGAGTTCATTGTATAAGTTTATATAGTGTTGCGATGCACACTTTTCTAAATAACAGAAATATTTCCATTTGTCTTCTCTCTCTATTTTTCGTCTTGTGTCTCTGTCCTCCATGAACGACGTGAGAAGAAGCTCCATTCCTGTTCACCTATAAACTACTAATACTTATTGTTAACGTGATTGTTTTTACACGTTTGACACAATGTTACACTATTGTTTTTTCAATTTTTAGTCACTCCATTTCGTATTTAGTTATCTTTTTCATAATATGATTTGGTTGAGTTTATTGTGTGTCCACTTTCCTTGTGAATTCAATCCCTAATTAATATAACTGAACATCTTATTTAAGAGAGTAAAATCACTTCTTAAAATAATTTGAGTGATATCAGCCGGTGAAGATGAAAAATAATCATGGGTTGATGGCTATGTTCACAACGTTTACTGTTTTAAAAGCTATGTCGTTTTGTTGATTAAAAGAGTGATCCGTATAGAAACTTAATAAGTATTCTTCGTCCCAAATTGAATTGGGGATCTAAGGTTTTGTAAATTAACAAAACAGAAGAAGTGAAAGACGATCCTCTACCTTGCTTCAATCTCAATTTAAAAACAATAAATTGTTTTTTGTAATCTTATAAAGTATCTAATTTTGAGAACTTTTGATTGCGTAAATTCGTAAGATGCTCCTCAAGTCAACAAATTTTGTGAAAATCGTTCATGGTTATGTTAAATTTTGGCAGATAGAATTAGGGGTATTAGTGTGAGATTCATGTTTGTAATTGGTGTTATATATCTTGTAGATGGCTCAATGTTCAAGTTCCTCTACCTCTGACAACAAAAACAAAAACAAAATTTGTGGTTTGTAACTGTAACCGTAAAGAAAACATGGTTCAAGCTGCCAACTCTGGAATGAGGTTTTACAGCTGCCAAGAGTGTAAAATTTCTAATGGATACGACTATTGTAACTTCTTCCATTGGTATGATGTTGAGAAACCACACGGGTCGCAACATGCTGTATAGCTGGGTGCTAGAAATGTTATGAGCCATCAGAGAGAAGATATTAGTAACCTGAGAAACCGAGCATTGGACAAACTCCATATGATTCAAACCTTAAGGGAGAGGTTAATGCGCTGAAAAGAGAGGTATTAGTTCTAAAAGAGAGGAGCATTGTGTATTACAATGTTCTTATTATGTCATCGCTTGGATTCATTGTGGTTGTTGGTGTGTTCATGGGTATCTTGAAGTGGTAGAAGACCATTGTTGTTATTGTTAAGACTGTTTAAGCTACTTTCATGTTGTTAAGAGTGTTTAGTTTTATGTATGATTATTTAAGTTTCTTTCATGTTGTTAAGAAAGTTTTAGTTTTATGTATCACCATGCAAGTTTCTTTCATGTTTTCTTATCAATATTTAAGACTATTTTAGTTTGTTTCATGATGTAATAACCATAGATCCTAAGTAAAAACAGTAGACAGCAAAAGACAAACTTCATAGCTACTGAAACATGAAACATGAAAATCCAAATTACATTTTGACACAACAAAAGCCAAGCTCCATTACGTTTTTGAAAAAAAAAAACTACATCAAGTCTTTGAAAACACAAAAGCGAAGCATAGTCATAAGATCACTCTTGTGGTGGAGGCTGTGGATTAAGATCAGACCTATCATACACTCGGTCTCCAAACACTTTAAAAGGACGATTTGTAAATGGACTCCATAAAGTCACCATGAGAAATGATGGTTTTCTTCCTTCCTTTCAAAGGTCATCCTCTTGAAGCTTTCTTAGCATGAGGCTTGGGGTCAGATGAAGATCCAGTGGCCTCTACAGGTTGATAGGATGATCCAGTGGTGTACAGAGGCTGAAAGGATGATTCAGATGATTGTACAGGCTGAGAGGAAGACCCTATATTTTGATTTTTCTTCTTCTTGTAGATGTTAGGAGTGCCTTGCGTAAAGAAATGTGCTAGATAAAGTACAGAGACATTGTATAGCTATGTAACTCTAAAAATTACCTGGTCAACCACACTTATATTTGTTCCCTCATAAACAACAGTTTGGTTTTCGCAGCCACTTTTAATGTGTTCAGACTGAAGATAATTTCTATATATTGGTATATGTGTGCCACGTTTTGTAGATTTTCTAGAAGTTTCAAGCGCTTCAAATGGCTACTTCTTCTTGCATCGTGTCCTTGGTCTTCCTCTTGGTTTCCTTATCTCTGATATCCCAATTGGTGGTTTGTCTGTCTTCTTCCACAGCGTTTCACCATTGAAAATTTTTATATTGTCAAAGTAAGTTCTTTTCATCATGTGTGTATAGTAATATTCTGCAGTATACTTTACATGATCCTCATGGTTGTCATCCAATACCCACACAACATCTTTACAAGGAATACCTGTAAGATCCCATCGCCTGCAAGAACTCTGATGCAAAGCGAAGGTCATTATATAACCATTGTCAAACTCATTCACCTCATACATGCTCGAACAAATATTTTTGTTAAACATTATTTTTTTGTGCATCTTGCTTTCTCCAACAAAACCATTGTAATAGTTGTTACAATGGTGTCCCACTTATCTGCCATAAAGTACGTCCTTGATATCCTTTTCATTGCTTGTCTATGTATGTCTTCCAACATGTTGATAACTAGTTTTGCCCTCGCCATCTTTATGGTTATGTTAAAACTTTCTGATAAGTTGTTGTGCATGATGTGGATTTTTGTATGCACTCTGAAATTAACCTTATTAGCTACTCTCTCAAATAAAAGGTTCAGTGTAGTATTTAGGGATCAAATCCACAGAGACTCTAGGATTGGAAAAAAGATTTATTGTTTTCGAATTAAAGCTAGACAGTAAATGTTTATAGTAGGAAGTGATTTCATGATTAAACTTCTTTGTAAAGACTTAATGGGAAAGAATAGACTTAGAGAAAACTCTCAGGTAATTTAAGCTGTGTTGACTAACAGATTGCTAGGGGTTTAACGAATTATCGTTCTCGAACTCAAACTCAAGGGGTTTAAAGATTCATTTTCGTAAATCTCAATTGAGTGTCAATGGATGGTCACTGTGTGGTATCCATCGACGCCTCTTCCTAACAGAACAATTTTGTGGTGTGATATGTTCTCTACACATCTAACTCAACTCTTGTTTTGTATTAGCTATTTAGATCATTTAAGCTATTTTTAAGGGTTTTAGCCAGGCTCTCACTTGCGCTATTAATCCTATGGTCTGGGGATGAAGTAATCAAGTTCAACTTGGCATTAAGCACAACTTAAACGAATAAGTAAATGAATTACCCTAACAATTTTATGTGATCAACAAGACATAACTACCATTGAAGAACCCTAAATCTAACAGTAGATTACTCATACATGATTATGAAGAACACAATGAATAACTGAATAAACTGCATAGATTAATAGTAAATAAACATATAAGGAGTTCAAGATCTTCTCTATAAGGTTGATCAGATCTCTCTCCAAATTTTCAAAGACAGCTCTCTCAATGCAATCGAATATGAAAGCTTAGGTTTTACAAAATGATTAAAAAAACATCTAATAAATAGCTGCTCACTCGGCCAGGGACTTCTTGCAATTAAGAAAATTTTGGGTGAAACTTGTAATTTCCCAAAATCATCATTAAGTTCGCGGATATAATGGTTGTCGATCGACAGACGAGGTGTACCGTCGATCGGTGTTGTATGTAAAATCTGGCTCCGACTTTGAGTTTTCAGGACAGCATTCTCAAATGTTCCAAAATGATCCAAAAGCTCCAATTGCTACTTTAAGTACCTGAACCTGTAAAGATTCTAAAACAACTCAAAATGTATATAAGGGGCTATAAAAACATATATATGTCATACGTAAAAACAGGTAAAATCCATGACACATCAACTCCCCCAGACTTACTCTTTTGCTTGTCCTCAAGCAAAGAATATCGCTATCTGAAAAAGGTTTTAAGTACGGGGACTCACTAATCTCTAACTCATTATTTTTACTTCTATAAATAACAACATCATCCAAGAGTCTATCTCAGAGAAACTTATATACCCTATTCTAGTATAACAATTAGATCTATCCAACCAACAACTTAGAAGATTCTAATTTGACTCGCCCCTCTACTAATGTTATTTCTTGCATAAGAATAAAGTGCAGGCTTTACTTTGGGAGTATCGATCAAAGGATACTTGAACTCTTACCTCTGCAAGTATCTGAGCACACAGGTAGTCTTCTCTAATTCTTTCTTCCCTCTTTCTCTCTTCTCTGAATCTTTAGATCTCAAACTCAATGGACAATGATGTTGTTACAGTCCATCTTGCCATCTTATTTTCATTTTTTTTTAACTAACAAATTGTAGGCGAATAATGGGGTCACAGGAGACACTCCTACCCCTCGCTTCCAACGATGTGTGATAATTCCATTGGAGTAGAATAATGGGGTCGCAGGAGACACTCATATCCCTCTAAACCGCATGAAATCATATCAAACTTTTCTTTTGTAGATGCCAGAGAGAGAGAGAGAGAGAGACTTATACCTTCCAGATTTGTAGGAGAAATCCGATATAGTGTATACCAAGTCCCAAGACAAGCAGATAAGTCATATTAGGGTTGGATGTCAACTTTGGTTCTTTCAAACTTTCTGAGTAAGTTTGATCTAATGTCAGAATGATCCACTTTGGTATCTCTAGAGTTCTCTGTACTCTCAACCAAAAACAAAGATCTAGAATAGTATTGTAACAAGTAGAAATATAAAATGATCATAGTCCACTTCTTGACTCAACATCTGGCCAATACTTTGCATAGGTTATCGAGGCATGTTTTGAAATCTGAACTGTACACGAAAAAGTCGTCCATGAAAATATGAAGTCTTCAATCATATCCGTGAATATAGACATCATGCATCTTTGAAAAGTAGCACGGGCGTTACAGATTCCAAATGACATTCTGCAATCTGTAAATGTTCCATAGGGACATGTGAAAGTGATCTTCTCTTGATCTTCAGGGTGGATGGGAATCTGGAAAAATCCGGAATACCCCTCGAAAAAACAGTAGTATTGGTGGCTTGCGAGCCGTTCTAATATCTGATCAATAAAGGAAGGGTATAGGGAAATGATCCTTTTGTGTGGCAGATTTTAGTTCCATGTAATCGATACACAACTTGTGTCCGGTTACAGTTCTTATCGGGATCAATTTGTCAGTATCCTTTTTCACCACTGTTATGCCTCCTTTCTTTGAGACGACACAAACCAAACTGACCCAATTACTATCAGAGATTGGATAAATAACGCCTGCTTCCAGAAGTTTCATGATTTCTTTTTTGACTACTTCTTTCAAGTTGGGATTTGATTCGTCTTCCAAGTATATCCTATGCATGCATAAATCAAGAGATATCCTAGATTTTCATCTAAAGAATATCATATAGCCTTTCGGTATGTAAGTTATTCAGCAACAATGCTTGTTTTCTGTTACTCAAATCAGCATTTATGATCACGGGATATGCATTTTCATAGAGAAAAGCATATTTAACCCCAACCGGAAGTGGTTTAAGCTCGATTTTAGGTGCCTTCTCTTTGCTCCAATCGTTGGTCATAGGACATTGTCGATCGACGGTTACCTCTAGTTATCGATCGATAGTGGTCAATAAATCGATATCTTCAATATCGACGTGGATCGCCTCTTTCATGGCATTGATTAACCTTATGTGCTATTCAGCTCAGCTATCAAGGGAAAAAATGTCGCTCTCTAGAGATGTGATTGCTCTTCTCAAGGAATCTTCTGAGCACATATCGATAAATGATTCTTCAGCTAGTTCAGAAAGATGGTCTACTTGGTAGGCTTGACCATCAATCAAGGGTCTCTTGACTATCTTCTCCATATTAAAATCATTGGTATCGTTCCGATATTGAGGCGTATATGTCCTTACTTGACGTCAATGATCGCTCCAGCTATCGCAAGGAATGGTCTTCCTAAAATAAGAGATTTTTTTTGTTTCTCCTCATACTTTAGTACTATGAAGTCAGCAGTTAA